GAAGGCCTGGCTCTGTTTGGGACCACTCATCATATGAAAAGTAACATACCATAAGTCATATTTGACCAGCTTAGAAAGCAAATAATCTTCAAAGAAGACAATTGCCAGCCAGTGGGGACTTGATGATCTGCCATCATTGTGGATTAACTTTACAGAACACCACATTACACGAATGGAAGCTCCACACCAAACTTAGAGGTGGCTTGGATCAGCTCTCTACTCAATAAACATAATAAATCAGACATTGCCCTGATGACAGGTATGTGTCCAAGAGTTTCCGCATTCATGACAGTATAAACTTGAACTCTCTGAGGGAAGTCAAAGATGTATCATTTGTTTTCCATCAATGTCAAAAACCTTCCTATTGTCACAGACAGGTCAAAGGCGACACGACAAACGGAAGTCAGCGGGCTCATGAGAGAACCTCTTAAGGGTCAGAAAAAGTAACTGAATTACTGAGCCATAGATGAGTGATCTTCGGGAAAAGATCCCTCTACCTCAGTAGCTTCCTTTTACATATTAAAGAATTTTGAGGGTGAGGAGGATTAGGGGAGAACCATTCTTGGTTGTCATTCAGGTAAACATGAAATAATAAAAACAGCAGGCACCTTCCTGCCTAGACCTTGGCAAGTAGGGAAGCCAGAATTGGAGTGTGGTGCCAGTAGTCTGTTTCTGTGGACATCTTGTCAGATTTATAGGAAGCAGTCAACAGCACAGTCAGACATATACTGCTCTCTTCACCTGCCCCTCTCTAGTTCTTATCCAGGGGGAAAATCACCCCTGTATTACTTATCATCTACTGTTGATAAGTATACGAATGAGCCATAATTCAACATTTTGTGAGTCATATATTAGATGTCATTTTGTGAATCATATATTAGATGTCATATATGCAGATGATACAACCTTGCTTTCTGAAAGAGGGGAAAACTTGAAGAAGATAAAAAATTGCAGCCTTCTGTATGTATTATATCACAACGTAAAGAAGACCCACATCCTCACAACTGGACCAATAGGTAGCATCATGATAAATGGACAAAAGATTGAAGTTGTCGAAGATTTTATCTTGCTTGAGTCCACAATCAATGCTCACGGAAGCCACAGTCAATAGATCAAAAGACATGTTGCACTGGATAAATCTACTGCACAAAACCTCTGTTAGAGTGTTGGAAAGGAAGGATATTACTCTGAAGACTAAGGTGCGCCTGACACAAGTCATGGTATTTCAATCGCCTCATGTGAGAATGAAAGATGGACACTGAATAAGGAAGCCAGAAGAAAAATCAATGCCTTTGAATGGTGGTGCTGGACAAGAATGTTGAAAGTACCATGGACTGCCAAAGGACAAAAAAAATCTGCTGTAGAAAAATAGAGTAGATTGCAAGTTAGAGGCAAGGATGGCAAGACTTACATATGTTGGATACACTGTCAGGATAGAGAAGTCCCTGAAGAAGGACGTCACAGTTGGTAAAGTAGAGGGGCAGCAAAAAAGGGGAAAGCCCTCAACGAGATGGAATGATACAGTGACTGTAATAACGGGTTCAAGTATAGGAACAATTGTGATTGTCGTACAACTGGGCAGGGTTTCATTCTGTTGTGCACAGGGTCGCTAAGGGTTGGAAATGACTTGATGGCACCTAGCACCAACCATATCAGATGTATACTTGGAACAAAAATAATAGATAATATATATTAAGGCCTGGCTGTGAACAATCATAGATAATGCACATTAAGGGCTTCCTATGAACCAGGCATCATTTTAAGACTCTACATGCATCAGTTTATTAGTCCTCAGGACAAGCTAATGAGATGGGTACTATTATTATCTACCAAGGTAAAGTAACATGCCAAAGGTCATATAAGTACTTAATGGTAAAGCAGGGATTTGAATCTAAGCAGTCTAGATCCAAAGCTCATGCTCTAATCTCAAGATTCAGACAAAGGGAGATAGAAGTGGAAATGAAACCCATCCTTGAGGTTTCACATATATGGATGTGGACAACACTAATTAGAGTTGACAGTGGTTGCAAAGAGCCCAAATGCTTCTATTTAAATAACATCTTAGCAGCCATCTGAAGAAAGTATTTTGATACCCTGTTTACCTCAAAGGGAGCCCTGGTTGTCTAGTGGTTACATGTTGGGCTACTACCTACAAGGTTTGTAGTTCAAAAGCCACAGTTCCTCCATGGGACAAAAACGAGGCTTTCTCCTTCCATAAAGAGTTACAGTCTCAGAAAACCCACAGGGGTTATTTCTACACTTATAGGCCTTATAAGGTCCCTATGAGAAGGAATTGATTCGATGGGAGTGCATTTTGGGTTTTTGGTTTACCTCCAAGAGAATATTGTACTATTACTAGTAGAAAAAATAATAACAGTTAAGCTTAAGTGAATGCTTATTAGATGCCAAGCATTGTGCTCAGTATATTATTTAATCTTTCTAGCAATCCTACGAAGTAGATACTGTTATTCTCCCCTCTCCCTTTACATATAAAGAAACTGATATCACTCTAGACTGTTTGAGACTGTCACTGAGAATCACTCCACACGAAGGCATAATCTATAAGCAATATAGTTTGAATAGGTATATAAGTTGACCCGAATATCAGCTAAGGCACCTAATTTTACCACAAAAACTGCATTAAAAATATGCTGAAAACCTTGGCCTATATATGAGTATGTACAATAAACAATATTATAATGAAATAACAAAATAATGAATAAAATACCCAGTGCTTCCTTTACAAATGTTTATGCAAAATATAGTTTTTTAACAAGTGACATTTTCCCACACAAGTTGTGCTACTTTATATACAAACAACAACCCTAGAAGGTAGGTACTGTAAGCCTGATTTCATGGATGAGAAAACTGAGTATCATAACAGGCATATAACTGATAAAACTGTCCAAAGTCAAATTCATGAAAGAAACAGGCTTGGACCTCACTCAGACTGACCTACCAGAGTCTGAGATCATAACCTGCCCCAGTCATTTAAAACCCAAGGAGATCCATGGGCCAAGAACTCTAGCCCTCATTGTATTTTGGGGTGTTTATCTCAATAATGATTGGACCAGTGGAATAAGATGCAGTCCAGTCATAAGAATTAGTTTGTTAGAACGATTCTTTGCCTCTGTCAAATAATGAATTCAGCCTTCCCCACCCGTTCTCAATCACATACTTTCTTCATGTTTTCTTACTTGTCTTATTTGTTTCCTATTTCAGTATAATAACATTTCTTAATGTATGATTGCTACTGTTGTCTCCTACCCCAGGTGACCCCCATTTAAGCATTTTAAAATCTGGGCTAGGATGACAGGACACATGACATCAACCCAGATCTGTGTTTCTTAGCTTTGGCATGCATGTGAATCATCTGGAGTACCTTGTTAAGATGCAGCTTCTGGTTCAGGAAGACAAGTTTCAAGCCTGAGATTTTAGAATTCTAAACAGCTTCTGGACTGTGCAGACCACACTGAGATACAAGGTTCCAGAATGACCTAATCTTTTCATGCTTTTATATAGGATCACAAATAAATCCAAGGAGAGTTATATTTAGGTTATTTTTTCAATTGCTTAATTAAAAAAAATTAATAAGTCATTTTATTGGGGGCTCTTACAGCTCTTATAACAATACATATATCCATTGTGTCAAGCACATTTGTACATATGTGGCCATCAACATTTTCAAAACATTTCTTTCAACTTGAGCCCTTGGTATCAGCTCTTCTTTTTTTCTCCTCCCTCCCCCATCATTCTACCCTTCCACCCTCGTGAACTTTTGATACTTTATGAGTTATTTTTATCTTCATATTTTACACTGTCCACTGTATCCCTTCACCCATGTTTCTGTTATTCATCTCCCCAGAGTGGGGGTGGACATTGATCATTGTGATCAGTTCCCTCTTTCTTCCCCTTCTCCCCACACCTTCCCACTATCCTCATGGTATCACTACTCTCGTTATTGGTTCTGAGGGGTTTATCTGTCCTGGATTTTGTGTGTCAAGAACTCTTATCTGTACCAGTGTACATGCTCTGGTCTAGCCCGATTTGTAAGATAGAACTGGAGTCTTGATAGTCGGGGGTAGAAAGTACTAAATAACTAGAGGAATGATGTGTGTTTCATCAGTGCTATATATGGAGGTTGTTTAAAAAGCTACCCCACGGCTTCTGAGATGTCAATCCTCAACTTATTCACAAACCCATTTTAATGGCTAATACCTGTATTCAGGATGCTTTTTATATGTAAACAAAACCCTTCACATACTATGACAATGTTTTTTTCCCTTTAGTGGAGATGGAGTTAGTCCATTATTCCCATTCTCTTCGGGGCTACTCTGTGGAAAGAAACACAGACAACTATTCATATTTTAAAATAGCCTTTGGGATTGTCCCCACCAGCTCCTCTTCTCCTGTTTAGGAATCTAAGCTTTGAGGGGTATCAGTTCTGGATTCCTTGGATGGTTCAAATGGTTGCTATATGAAAGGTAGAACTTCAAGTCCATTGAGTGGCACATCCGAAGAAAGGCCTGGCAATTTACTCCTGAAAAAAGAGCCGTTGACAACCTTATGGAACACAGTTCTACACTGACAAAAATGAAGTTACCAAAAGTGGAAATCAATTCAACGGCAATTTTTTTTAAAAGCAGTTGTATCTATTGATTCTCTTTCCATCTAAGTGTCTATTTGCTCCCCCCAAAATCGACAAAGTAGACAAGCTTTGAATTCGCTTTCCAAAATCTTCTTGCGTTTTCTTTCAATTAACTGCTTATGTATTACATTACTCTATTTCCATTAGTCATGTCCTAACTTGCCCAAAATGCAATAGGGAGTATACTAGTAGCTACTGGCCACCCTGTCTATAAAGCTCATATTACAAAAGTGTACACTCTAGGAAAAATCTGGAAAATGCCATCTTCAAAGTAAGTCATATCATATGTCTATATTTATTACCACATAGTCAATTAAAAAAAGCATGTACTAGGTGATTAAAAATAGCATACCAGGTAAAATTGGTTGTCCAGCAATTCCCATTGGTGCCATCCCAAGATTATTCATTGCTGTGGCCCATGCAGTGGGATCAGACATAGGTAAGGTCATCGCAGTAGCATCCACATTCAGAGTTCTAGTGCTGTCAGCTGGGGGGAAAAAGAGGAAAAGCAAGTAATTTTTTTTCTCTTTTAAAAAAAAATTATTTTTGCTAGTGATTTGTTATGTTAGGATTCCAGCATCTATTCTACTTAGCAATATGTAAACTATTTATAATAATAGTCTGATGGGTAAAGTGATGAATAAGGCCTCAACTTCAAGTTTCTTATAAATGTTAAAACAATACAATTTGAACTGGTAGACAGTCAAGGAACTTGAACGCAGTCCATGAGATGAAACTTAGTGTAAGAATTTCTTCTTCCTTTTCTCTACCTCTCCCTTTCTTTCTCCCTGCCCCCCACTTTTTTCATATATATGTATACACACACACACACACACACACGCACACACACAACAGGTGCTTGGGAGCATTAAGAGGTTTCCTGTTCTTCTCATAGTCTACTTGAATACGATTACTTCAGCAGCATCGATCCAAACTACTCATGCATGCAAACCTAGAAAAAACATCCAAGGGCTTCCAAAATTGGCAGTAAAAACTCAAAATTATATTCTTGATTCAATTTTATATCTTTGAAGTAGTAGCATTGAATAGATCTAGATATACAATAAAGAAACACCAAGTTAGCTGGTTGAATACTTGTGGAACTTGAAGAATACTAAAAAGAAAGTAGACAAGAGACATAATCCCCATCCTCTGGGGTTGCATAATCTATTGGAGACATTGATGATGATAGTGATGATAATCACTATTATCACCACCTGCACCACTATGGGCATCATTAGTTATTGAACAATTGCCTTATTTTTCGTAGAGCACTTGACATGCATTATTCTCATTTAATTCTCAGAACAATACTACAATAGAGGCTATCATATATCTATTTAATAACTGAAATGTTTAGGAAGGTCACATATATTGCCCAAGGTCACACAGGTTGCCCAATAAGCTTTATTAAATCAAATTAAACAAGTAAGAAGCAATAACATATTTAAATGATATGGACCAAAAATGTTTGAGAAATGAAGACTACTTTAGCCTAGTTCCATTGAGTGATGGGTAGGAATTAAATAGGTACAAAATGAGGGGGAAACATTCCAGGAGCAGGGATGACCTAAGTAAAGACATAAAAGTACATTATGTATGCATGTGTATGTACCTACTGTATAGATGGGAGAGAAAGTCATCTGAACACGAGGATGGCTTTTATTTTGAGACATTTCCCTTCGACACCCGATACCCATGGGAAAACTTTCCATGTTTTTTCTCCTACCTCTTAGTATGTAATTCTGCCAGTTATACCCATAAAAGATAGAATAGTATAATAGTAGCTAGTGATTGTCTATCACAGCCTTCCAACCTAGTAACATCATGGATGATCTTTGGCTATGTTATTTATACATGGGCTATTTAGGTAATTGATTGGTCACAACAAGCAAATGCAAATGTCTCAAAGCACTATTTACTGAACTATAGTTTTGTTATTCTCCGCTGCCTATGTATGCCTTTCCCTCACAAATTTTTCTCTCTCTCTCTTTGTCTGTGTCTCTGTCTGTCTCGCTCCCTCTCTTTCACACACACGCACATAAACAGTAACTGATGGGCCTAAGCATTCATTGCTGTAGTCCATGTCAGATTTCAGAACTTGTGATTTCTCCATGCGTAGGGACTCTAGCCCACATGTTCAGTTTTCAATGCTTAGCCTCCTTGTAAATATTCTCAAGAAAACAAACCTGGGTTGTCAAATATCCTTTGGGTTGAGTTTATATGATAGTCAAGTCAACATGGGCTTCCAATACCCGGTCATAGGAGGTAAATCTTTGGGGCAATGACATAGTTAAAAGGAGCCTCAGTAGCACAATAGCTAAGCACTCAGCAGTGAACTGAGAGGTCAGTAGTTTGAGCCTACTAGCTGCTCTATGGTTTAAAGATGGGGCAGCCTGCTTCCATAGAGAATTATAGCCTTAGGAAACCATATGGAGCAATTCTACACTGTCCTATAAGGTAGCTATGACTAAAAGTCAATTTTCACAACCACTGAATTGCTGCTGGCTCATAGCACCTTATAGGACTGGGTAGACCTGCTCCCGTATGCTTCTGAGACTATAACTATGGGAATACAAAGTCCCAGTTTATTCTGTTGAGAGGCTGGGGGTTTTGAACTGCGGACCTTGTAGTTAGCAGCCAGTGCATAACTATCATACCACCAGGGCTGGCAGCAATTACTTTTTTTTTTATAGCTGTAAAAGATGTCCCTGGGTTGGTGCAAATGGTTAGTGCTTGAAGGTTTACAGTTTGAATCCACCCAGAGAAGTGGATTCCACCTCCGGAGAAAATCTTGGTAATCTACAAGGGTGCTTCAAAAAGTTCACAGAAAAAGTGCACTATCTTTTCATTCCAATTTTCCAAGAACAGTTTGTAGCTCCTTCATCCTTGAAATCCCTATACAGTGCAGTTCTGCCATAAACGCATGGGATCTCCTGGAGTTGGAATAAACTTGATGGCAATGGGTTATAGCTTGAAGAGTTGAAAGAGTATGAATCTGTTCAATGGTGATTTATTACTATTTTTGTTCTTTCTCACTTTTTTCTTTGTATCGCCATAAGGGTCTTTAGAGATGTCTGAGTCTTTGGTGGCTGAGAACAACTCACAGAGGTAATTGCTAGGATCATAAGGCCCTGGATATCAATGTCAAAAATAATATCTTGTAAAAGTTTGGGTACTGACTGAATGCAGTATTGCAAAATGTAATAAAATTAGGAATCCTTCTTAGCAAAGGACTTTGAAATCAATGAATAAGAATTTACAATGCACTAACATAGCAAACTCTGGACTAATGTATGTACTGGAGACGAGGAGAATGACCTAAAATTTCAGGTATTTTTAAAAGACTGCTATGTTATATTCAAAATACATAGTAGAAGTCCTATGAGGCTTGTTTATATGAACTTATAAGGAACATATGTAATTAACACCATTATTTTTCCACAATGATTATTCTTAAGTTCTTTTAAAAAACATTTATTTATTTATTTTAATTTTTAATCATTTTATTGGGGGCTCATACAATTCTTATCACAATCCATACATCCATCCATTGTGTCAAGCACATATGTACATTTGTTGCCCTCATCATTCTCAA